TGAAGTGCCTTTGTCTGTGGCACAGCTGAGACAATGAATCATGACCCTAGCAAGGACTGAAATTATCTCGACTTTTGTTCCCTTAGGACACAGAGTTCTACAGTTACCTATTAATTATAGACTAAGCCTAATACTCTGACTTTCAGGAGGAGGGAAAGTTGATGTCTGTGCAATAAAATTATATACAAAAGTCACGAAGTTCAAACCTTTGGCAGCCTTTTAGCCTGTACCACTGGTGCTGGTGTTACACGTGGTCAGTAGCGCTCTGCGGGCTTGGCTGCTGAAATGAGACTGGTAGAGGGTCAATGGTGGGACAGGAAATCCTGGGCAGCTGCTGCTGCAAGGTTTGTCTGCGAATGCTGAACACTTGCAGCAGAAGCCGATACTTCGGCCCTTGCTGCAGGTCCCAGCGAGGTGGTGAGAGGGTGTCCTTGCTCGTGGCAAGCCGGTAGATCCTGGGCAGCAGCTCTCTGTAGTTTGCCCTCTGTGGCCTGGCTCGTAGGGAAGTGAGGGATAGCATTACAAACTGGTGGGAAGCTGGGGCTGAAGACCAGTGGGTGCTTTGTTGGAGTTTGTCTTTAACACTTCATCTTTGAACAAGTACGTGGGGTGCTTTTCTGCCCATTTGGCTTCATTTCTCCCACGTGTAACAGGACAGCTTCTGTAGGGCACAAGTGTGCGATGACTTGACGTGACTTCTGGTGGAACAGACTGGATAAGCACGAAGGGTGTTTGATTCCCGTGGCTGTCAGATGGTGACGGTTCGGGTTTTTTCTTTAAAACTGGTTTTAGAAACTCCAAAAGGGCAGCTTCGCTATAGAAAGGCTGTGACTAATAGTTGGTTGTGCCTTGTTACAGGAGGTCTGCCTTCCTGCGTGGCAGCAGGAGATACCCTTTGCACTGTTCACTTTCAACACTTCAGCAAGCTGGCTAGCCAGAGCTGGGGAAGAGAGGAAAACAGAGGGACTGGCTTTCCCATCGCCTAACAAAGTCTGCATCTTCAGTCAAGTTGCAAAAAATGGAACTAAAGGGCTGAAGAGAAGTGTCTGAGCCACAGACCAATTCTGTTCTCTTTCCAACTAGCACCTGCCGTGATGCTGGGGGGAAGGATTGCTGGAGATCCGGGGAAAGCAGCAATGATGGTTATTTATTTCCTTGTTGGATTAGCCCCTATTTATGTGAATGTTTACCCATGTTCAGGATATGTTGTTCATGGGGTGGGGTTTTTTTAGTGCTGTGACAGTGGTTTTGCTTAACAGCTGACTGACTGAATACTGCTGAATGAACAGCAGATTAATTTTGTATCAAAATGAGTCCTGAGTATTTGTTGAAATACAGATGTTTTATTTTTCTCATTTAAAAATTACTGATGTGTTCTGTGTGGGTTTTTTTCTTTCTGCTAAATAGTGCTTTTAATAATGTGTGTATGACTGTGATTGCTAATGAGAAGAATGGAGTTTGCAAGCTGCCTGAAAACCAGGGAGAATGTGGAAAATGAATATGCGTGTGGTTAAAACTGCAGGATGGAATTAGGCTTGGATTCTTTCTTGATTCCTCCACGGCCTGCCCCATACAGACATCAGCAAATCGCTTAACAAAAACCTGTTTCTTCATTCATAAAACAGTAATTTCTGTCTTACAGAGAGGTGCCAAGCTAGCTGAGTCAAAGCTGATAAAATCTAGTGGGAAAGTGCTGCAGAAAGCTTCATCCCCTGCACTGGCTAATCTTCCGAGGTGTAGTGGTGAGTTCAGAGCACGGGGGGTTGCAGTTTTTTTATGGGGGCCCTTTAGGCAGAGCTGGGGCCAGTGGGTGTCAAGACATGGAGCAAAAGGAATGATATCTGAACTGGCTTTCCTCTTGCAGTGTGCTGTTTCCCATAAGCCAGTAGAGATAACATTTTCCCAAGAAATTCAGAGGTGGCAGAAGGTCTGTGTTCTATTCCCTGTGTGCTGTTCACCACAGGGCTGGTAGTAGATGTAGTACCGGTAGTAGATGTGATCTGTGCTCTAAAAGATCATTGTCCTTTGCAAATGCTGCTCACGAGATGCCCCTGTAATCTTCACTGCTGGTGGGAAAACTTTGTATGACTACAAGAAGCAGCTGTCTTTGTTCTTTTTCAGGATTAAACTTCAAGGCCAGGCTGGATGAGGCTTGGAGCAACCTGGTCTGGTGGAAGGTGTCCCTGCCCTTGGCAGGGGGTGGGACTGGGTGGGCTTTAAGGTCCCTTCAACCCAAACCAGTCTGTGTTTCATTCTATGATCTGTTACTACAGCAAAAAGAGTCCTGAGGCTGGGTTGATCAATTAGCAGACATGCTAATTACCTTCAGCAAGGGCATGGCTAATAGAGGTACTGGATCTTTTTTTAGTGTCAAGCTAATTTAATGCCTAACAAGAAGCAAAAGCCTAAAGTAGCTCTGAGCATCTCTACCCCGCTCCTAATGATAACGTGGAGAAACTCTCCAGAAACTTAGAAAGCAGAACAAAGGGTCGAGTGGGAAGGTAATGGAAAAATGTGTCATGCTGCCATGGCATCAGAGGGTGTATGTTCTTGAGACTTTTCTTAAAACAGACTGCTAGTGAGTTCTTGTTGCAGCTACAGTTCTAGAGCTGTGGGAAGGCGAGGAGGCAGTCGAAGGTATGATGTTGATGCTTAACTTCATCACAGTGCTGCTTGCTGTGCTGCTCCTTTAATTACCGTTACAGCCGCAGCCTGTAATTTGGGAATCGTGGGTTATGTTCCTTGCTTTGCCAAGACTTGACTCCCTTTCCCTCAAAATACCGAGTTGTCATAATTATGCTTGAAGCTTAAGGACGTCCAAAATTAGAGGCCTCATTGTCGAAATCATCCTTTCCAGCTGAAGTCTAAACCACGGGAGAGGGCTTGCTGCCCTCTGCTTTCCTGTAGAAGGAGGTTAACAGGCGACAGGCCATTTGAAGAGCCTCTTTCTTCTAACTCTGCTTGTTTTGTCCCCTGAAATCAGCTGGGCAGACCTATGCCTGTGAGCTTCGCTCTTTTTACTCTTTCTGACCACTGCACAGAGAAACTTTCTGGACCCTAGCTGGTGCTTCAGTGGTACAATTTGGGAAACAAAGCCAGATTGAGTCTGAAATCACTGCGTGTGCAACGCTGCTGACTCGCAGTGCGACTCATGTTTCTCTCCTCCCCCGGCGCCCGTTCTGGCTTCCCCCTTTTTTTTTTAAACCCCCTCCCCCCTTCCCTTTCCCATCTCAAAGTATAGCTGAGTAATTTCCCCTTTTCTCTTTTCTCAAACCAGTTTTGCTCCTGGAATGATCTTTGCTCTAGCCAGGATATAAAGGGAGGCTGCATCCGAGACAAGTTTTCTTAGACACAAGACACGGACAGGTGTTGCTAGACCAGGAGAGGAAACGAGGAGACTTTTGACTTCACAGGCTCAGGTTGGTCCATGGTAATGCAGAATGGTTTGTATTAACAGGGGAAAAACTATTCTACAGCTCTGAGGTAAGGATGTGGTGTGTGTCAGCAGGGGGATGCATTTCTTGGGATCTGCTGGGGTGGGTTGGTGTCAGGCAGAGTTTTCCCTGTGATAAGTAATGACTAGTTCTGTGTCAGTCCGGCTCACTGGAGTTAACTGGCGGTGACGGGTGTCTGCTGAAGGTGTTCAGAGTCTGTGCTGGAGCAGAGAAACAAGGTTTGAGATGACCTTGGAGAGAGATGCAGTAAGAGGGGTGTGAAATCCTGCGTAGCTGCTGACAGTCAGAACTCTGTTCCCACCCTCCCTGCCTCAAAACAAGATGACTGAAAATGTGAATACTAAGGTTTCTGGCAGCCTTCCTGAGCCACTGGAAACGACAATGGCTACTGCAGACAGCTCATATATCAGTTTAAGATATAAGCATAGTAATTAGTGACTGGGCTTTCAGAAAGCACTCATTATGGAACAGTGACCAGGGGCAAAGAAATAAAAGTAATGCCAGTTTCTTACTGAAAAGGTGAAGGAGCCTGGCTATAGAAGCGTTGGTTTCTGCATCCGTTTACCTGCACGCTTCCAGGCTGAGAAGTGCTTTTTCTGACCCTGTGGCTGATGGCAGGCTCTTGCGGGGAGGCAGGTAACCTCTCGGCGCAGGTGCTGCAGGGATGTTCTGCAGTAAGCTCCACCAAACACACGCGGAATCACTCTTCCTCAGCAGGATCTTACTCGCACAGGCCGTGTTTGTGAGCGTGAATTGCTGAAGCTGCGCAGGTAGGAAGTGTGAGGTGGATGTGAGAGGCAGCTCGCCTCGTGGGGCGTGATTCGCACTCTGTGTTTGCAGTGCAAATGGCATACAGCTGTGTGTTCCCCTTCCTTGTGCGCGGATCAAGCACGGCATGCAGAAGAACAGCCCGTGTGTGATTAGCCCAGTTAAGGCTCTCACTGCTGGGGGTTTTCACAGAGCCTCCCGTGGGTGTTAGATGTAGTGACTGTGGTCAGACAGAATGCAGGGGTCTCCCAAAGGCTGCGAGATGGAGAAGGATGAGTGCAAACTGTTCGTAAAGCAGTGGCAACTGCTGATTAGGAGAGCTTTAAAGATGTTTTCACTTCTTCAGAGACTTAGTTTCACATTGGAAAGTTGCAGTGTGCCATCAGCTTATCCTGTGTTGTGTTCCACCCTTTTCCTGTTTTTAATGGGGATTAAAGATTTAATTCAAAGCACAGCTGAGCATCTGGAGAACTCACGGTGAAGTCAGCAAGATCTGACAGCGCTTCTTGGGGTGCAGTGTTGGGAATCTGGAGTTGGATTTTCCTCTATCCAGGCGGCTCCCTATCGCCAGTGCCCCTTTTGCTCAATAGTTCCCATTCCCACTGCAGTGAGATCTGAGAGACATTCAGCTCGTTGGAGGGGGATCTGTTTCACCACCCCCCAGCAGGCTTCACCCCCCATAGGTGTTCTCTAGGAGGCTTAGGGTCTGCTTGTTTGTTTTCTGTTTGTGTTTCTTCAAGCCAGGACGACGCTGCTCACTAATACTTCTCACTCTCCACCATGTGGGAAGAAGATGATGATGACACGTGTTGGAATAACCTGGAGAACTTCCGGGTGAAGCTGATCTCTGTGATAGATCCTTCCCGTATTACACCCTATCTCCGCCAGTGCAAAGTCATCAGCCACGATGATGAGGAACAGGTTCTTAATGACCCCAGCCTGGTCATGCGCAAGCGGAAGGCGGGTGGGTGAAGTGCAGCCTTCGGCTCTGTCGGTGCTCCCGGGCTCTGTCAGCTCTAGGGAGCAGGTTGGAACAGAGTGGGAACGGACTGGGCCTGAAGGGACACATCGCTTCTGGGTTACCATCTGCCCATGTTTAGACACACGTGTTATAGGCAGAGCTGTGCAGCCCCTTTCTCCTCCCTCTCCCAGCACGTCATTGTGGGGAGAGGAGGGATGGAGATGGCTCTTCTACCTCCTGGCGTTTGAGGGAACGCTGGCAGCACGTTAAATGAACTCTTCGTGACTGTTCTGTACAGTCCTGGCCTCGTTCCAACCACAGAGAATGACAGAATTCTTTTTGCTGTTAGTGCATCCATTGGATTGGATTAACTCTTACTGAGAAATTACTGTGGGTCTTTGAAAAAAAAAAAAAAAATTTCCCTGTTTCCCAGATTGGGAAACTGCAGAACATGGAAGAGAAAACCCCTGGGCTTGATCTGGTACACAGTGTTTCTAGACTGGGGAACTGACCTCAAAGTTGTCTTAGTCCAGGCTCTCTCAAGCTTGTCCCTGCTGCCTCTTGCTATGCTCAGTGTTCCTGTCTCGTGGCTCTTTCCTCCCCGTACTTGGAAGTGGAGCCTTGAGCTGCAGAGGCTGTCAGGGTGCTTTGTTTTAACTTACCTTTTCTGTCATTATCAGCAGGATAACATAAAGTGCTCTTCCCAGGTCTGCTTTTTGTACCCCCTGTATCAGAAGCTAGGCACGAGGGTTGGGTTTTAACTGCTCCTTCACAGTTAAAATCATCTTGTACAGTTACTGGTTTAGGATTGGCTGGGGGCTCTGATCCCAGAAACTTTAATCTGCATGTGGGGAAAGTGGAACAACTTTTTGTTTTGTTAGAAGTAGGTGAAGAGATAAAAAAATGAATATCCTGCTGCTGTTGTTTCAGGTGTTCTTCTGGACATTCTTCAGCGAACAGGACACAAAGGCTTTGAGGCATTTCTGGAGAGTCTTGAGCTTTATTATCCGCAACTGTATAAGAAAATAACGGGCAAGGAGCCCAGCAGGGTGTTCTCAATGATTATAGGTAAAGTCTCTGGATTATAGGTGAAGTTTGTGTTCTGATAAACTACTCTTCACTTGGTGTCACTGTGCAAATTAGGGGAGGAGTCACCTCTGCTTTTCCTTCTCCCCAGCTTAGGTACGTGCAGTCGGGAGTGTTCCCTGGCTTGCTCCCTTGGAAAGGTTTTGGCAAGAATGGCCCTGCTGGCTTTGCAGGCTGGATGTGGGAGGGTGGAGGAGGAAGCAGAACAATGGAGTCTTCCTTCTGCCTGTTGTTCTGGCAGTGGCACTGGTGTAGGGAGGTGCAGTGCTGGGGGGAAAACGTGGATGCCCCATCCCTGGAAGTGTTCAAGGCCAGGCTGGATGAGGCATGGAGCAACCTGGTCTAGTGGAAGCTGTCCCTGCCCATGGCAGGGGAGTGGGCCTGGATGGTCTTTAAGGTCCCTTCCAACCCAAACCATTCCCTGATTGTATGAAACACGTGGACGGTTCGATCACACTTGTCTTCAGGGTCTCCATGCTTGTGTGTGGCATGGGATACCCTGAGCTGCAGCGGTAAGGAGGTGGAAGCTGTGCCGTATGTGTGTCTGGGGAGCGGATGGCACAGCACTGGCTGACGCCTGCCAACCCAACAGACACCGCGGGAGAGTCCGGCCTGAGCCAGCTCCTGATGAACGAGATCATGAAGCTGCAGAGCACCGTGCAGGAGGAGCGGCGGAAGGCCCAGGAGCTCACCATGTGGCTGCACACCAAAGAGGACACGATCAGAGAGATGTGGGTGAGGGACAGCCTGCTCCGCAAGCATCAGGAGCGGGCGCAGAAGATGAAGGAGGAGAGGGACAGCCTGAGCAAGGAGCTGCGGAAGTGCAAGGATGAGAACTACAACCTGGCAATGAGCTACGCCACGCAGAGCGAGGAGAAGAGCGCTGCCCTCATGAAGAACCGGGACCTGATCCTAGAGGTCAGTCACCCTTCTCTCAAGCGTCCTGCTCCTTACCTGATCCCTGGAAGGCTGTGCTGTGTGCCAGACTTGTCTTTGCCCAGGAGGCCCAGTTTCTTCCCGGAGAGGGTGGGGAGGCACAGGTACAGGTTGCCCAGAGAAGCTGTGGATGCCCCATCCCAGGAAGCGTCCAAGGCCAAGCTGGATGAGGCTTGGAGCAACCTGGTCTAGGGGAAGGTGTCCCTGCCCATAGCAGGGGTGGGACTGGGGGGGCTTTAAGGTCCCTTCCAACCCAAACCAGTCTGTGATTCTATGATGGTCTGGACCAGTCCAGGGTGAGGTTCTGTGCATCTTCTCTAGCAGGTGGCATGTTCTGGTGGTCCCTAGCTCAGCCCTGTGGGCCCACGTACAAGTTAAACTGTGAAGAATTTAGTCTTCCCCTCCTTCAAGACTGGTCCCTCTCACGAGTGTAGCATGTTGTGTCCGTTTGGCACACAGGCAGGACTCTGGTCCCCGGACCACCAAACATCCTGAGGAAAAAAAGCTGGGGAGAAACTTGCCCCATGTTTGTCTGGGGAACGGAGCGAGAAGCGCGTTTGCAGGTCAGAACTGTCTCCTTGTTGATGAGCTCTGAACCTTCTTGTAGATCGACCACTTGAAGCACAGCCTCATGAAGGCAGAGGATGACTGCAAACTGGAGCGGAAGCACACGATGAAGCTGAAGCACGCCATTGAGCAACGGCCGAGCCACGAGGTGATGTTCAGGAGCTGGAGAACACTCTCCAGGTTGGTGGGTGTGGTTGGATATGGAATCCCTGAGAAGTGATTATTTGGAGTAGCCAGGGCAGGGACAGGGCTGCTCCAACGATTGTGTGTGTCAGCTGTGGCCTTGTTCTCCCAAGTCAGAGAGCACACAGGGCTCTGCGAAGGCTATTATGGAGTTAGATGGTTGCCTTATCTCATTTTTCCTTTGTCCAGCAGGTTGCTAGGGAACAGAATTTGGAGAAGAGCCTTTCCAAGGAGACCCTGGAGAATGGCTGTAGCCAGATACTGGAAGAACGCCGGGAGCTGATGAACACCATTTACAGCCTCCGCAAGGAGCTGCGGCAAGCCGAGGTGCTCCAAGACAAAGTACGTGATGCATGGCAACTCCCAGCTGAGGGTAGGCAGGTGGAGCACTGGCAGCATCTTGCCTCTGGAGCCGAGGAACTGCTCAGCACCAATCCTGGCTGCTCCCACTCAAGTAGCTGTGTTGTAGTTTGGTGGAAAAGGCACACTAAGATTTTAGCAGTTGTGTCTGTGACATTTACTGTTACCTGTTAATGCTACTGTTAATTAACAGTCCATGCCTCAGCTTGGAGGGTGGTGGGAGCTTTATCGTGTCTGACAGCTCAGGTACGTGTAAATCCATCATGTCAGCAGTCCTGGTCACGCTGAGCGACCTTCTGGTTGGCCTTGCTCCGCTCTGGCTGAACTTGGCATGGCCATAGCCATCTGTGGCACGGAGCAGATGTGGTGAGAGTCTCCCTCGGGCTCTGCCCATGAGCAGGGTGGTTTGGACCTTGTCTCAACAGTGTGCAGAGGAAAAAGAGATGCTGGAACTGCAGTGCACGTCTCTGAGGAAGGACTCCCAGATGTACAAAAAACGGATTGAAGCTGTCTTGCAGCAGATGGAGGAAGTGGCTTCAGAAAGAGACCAGGTGATAAAACATTCCCCTTGGAGCTGCTGCTAATCCCTGTGTTGCTGCTCCCAGTGGCAGATACCATAACCCTGAATGTACCATTGCGTGTCGTGCCACGATGCGTTGTCCCTTCCGCCAGGCGCTCCTGACCCGAGAACAGTTCTACATGCAGTACTCCAAGAATCTGGTGGAGAGGGACGCTTACCGCAAGCAGATCCGGGAGCTGGGGGAGCGATGCGATGAAATGCAGCTGCAGCTCTTCCAAAAGGAAAGTCAGTTGCTGGCTACTGAAGCCAAGCTGAAAAGGTTGCAACTGGAGCTACCCACACCGGTATGCCTGTGGGGTTGTCATCATGAAGGTGGGTTGGGAAGCTGAGTAGAGGGACAGAGTGTGGCTGGTCCGGGGCCTGGGACCTGACCAGTTTGGATTCAGCAAGCAGAGGGTGACCGTTTCCGTGCAAGTGCTGAGTCTAGAAAAATGAAAGACGTGATGGTTCCACCACCTCACCTTAGTTCCAGGCATGGGTAAGCGGGACTGATGCAAGCTGAGGCCCTCTGTGTTTGGAGCATGTCCTGTGGTGAGCGGATCCTCAGCCACCAAAGAGTGAACTCTATTTAGAGACTCTGTACGAGCCATTTGGATGAAACTGGGAGCAGGGTGTAAGGATGGTAGTTTCTGGAACTCAATTATACATGCAGGGGCTTTTAATTAGCGTGGCATCTTGTGTACTTTCTCCAGGTGGTCAGACAGGAGTGTAGGAAGGAGGAAGTCTGCACTTCTCTGTTTTCTGACGCTTTCAGCCTCCTCTGTGTTCCCCTCCCGCCACTTCCTTGCTTATGAGGTGCGATTAATCGATACTGGTTTTATTTCAGACCTCTGACCTGGATGATACCTCCTCCAGAGATTCCCAGGAAGTGAGTAGGGTGCCTTGTTTACCTTTTGCTTTCTTCTGGGATGGTTGCAAATTCCTCCCTTGTGCTCGATTCCCTCAGTAACAGCAGTTTTCAGTCCATGGCTCAGGCGAGTTTCAGTGATACCAGAAAGTAGAGAGGCAGGAAAACAGACCCGTGAGAGCATCTCCCTGTGTCCTGAGATTTCTGACTGTGGGACACACTTCTGGCATTAGTCAGCAAGACTTGTTGAATCCAAGCAAATCAGGGGAACAGAATTATTTTGAGTCGCTTCTGATTGTGTCTCTTGTGGGAGAACAGACAAAAATGGGTCCTACCCTAGGGACATGTGTAGTATAGAGTTTTCACTTAGTTGGTAACTTCCGTGTGGTGGTAATTGTCACATTGGAGGCCAAAAGTATAAATGAGGCCAAAGGAACTGGATATACTCCTGGAGGATAAATCCATGAGTAGATCCATAACTTCTGGCTCAGAAAATCTCCTGTTTTCTGACAGCCAGAGGCACTCGGGAAAGGGCAGCTGTAGGCATGTCCTGTTTCTTGTGTTCCTCCGGCTGTTCCGAGCTGCTGGGTGACACAGTAAGGGGCAGTTCTCACGTTCTTGCTTTGTTTCTGTCCCGTAGCTTACTCTTCACGGTCATCTAGAGGAAGATGCACAGCCGACTAAAAGTAAGGCTTTTCTTGGGAAAACAGGGAGTAGAATTCTTGAGAGGATGGTCCAGTGTTTCAGAGGGACAGGAAAAGACATTGCTGGGGTTTATTTTTAGTGAAGAACAGGTAGTCTGACTGGGGATGCTGTGAGAGGTGCTTCTCGGCCGGGTATGCTTGGCACTCCGAGTGAGACGACTCAGAATCGGTACCGGTAAATCAAGGCATTCTGCCATGCTGCTGTCTTTCTCCTACAGAAGGGAAAACAGATGCTGGGCACAGGAAAAGCTTGTAAAGCTTTAGAAAAAAAGCTCCACAGGCTGTCTTTTTACTACTAATGTTATGCACTGGGACAGGTTGCGCAGAGTTGTTGTGGATGCCCCATCCCTGGGAGTGTCCAAGGCCAGGCTGGATGAGGCTTGAGCAACCTGGTCTAGTGGAAGGTGTCCCTGCCCATGGCAGGGGGTGGGACTGGGTGGGCTTTAAAATCCTTCCAACCCAAACCAATCTGTGATTCTACATGGTCTCTGCAAGGGTCTTTCATACAGCCGAATGACCTGGGAAAAGCGGGATCAATAGGCCATCCCATGACCTCAGTTTGGGTTTTGTTGAGGTTGTCTGTCTACTGAATTTGTCCAGGAAAAATCACCTGGTACATGGTGCCTTTTTCTCCCCACTCCTCTTGCGTTTGTGACAGAGCCGAGGATAGAACACACATCCACTTCAGCTGGACCAAGTGGCTTTCTCTAGGGATTTTTCCCTCCCCTCTTCCCTTTTTTATGATGCAGGCTATTTTCCCAAAAGCAGAACTGTGTAGTTAACACTGTCACTGGTTCTGTTTCTGTGGCATCCTGGGTGGAAATGATTCAGCAGTGTGGAAAGGGATTCAGAGGCTCTTCTAAGAACTTGAAATGCTCTTTCAAAACTTGTTGGGAAAGGAAGGAAGCTAGCACATTAGAAATGCTCTGTTCTCATCTCCTGGAAGAGCTAAATGATCTTCTCATTCATTGAGATGGGAGATTTTTCACAAAAGCCAAACAGCACTCATCCTAAAAGCCTTTTATTATTCTACCTCGCTCAGTTCAAAAACTTGTGTCATGGTACCTGGTCACGACATAAGGACTTTCACTAAAACTGATGTTACGTGCCTTGATACGCACAACAGTTGTTGGGGAACAGGGACAACTTATGGTTAAAATAACCATTAACGTGATTTTTGTGGTGACTTACAACAGGATTATTTCATGATGCTAAGCAGAGGTGCTGCTTTGCACAGGTTCGCTTTGCTCCTGCATAAGCAGAAACCAGGAAGCTGCTGTCGCTTTCTGAGCCCACCGGGGAACCCCGTCATCCTAAAGCAAGACTCAGGGCTGAAGTAAAATGAGAAGTGGCTCGTGCATTGATCACAGGACTGAATCCTGAGCCTTTTGAGGCTTGGTTTCAGTTCTGCCATTGACTGTGTGGAGTGTGTAGCAGCTGTTACACAGCTATTGCCGTTTGACGGACTGGTGGAGGGAGAAGTTACTTCGCAATGGCAACTATGACTAAAGCTGTGTTTTTTCCTTCTCTTAGAAGATTGCTCTGAAGGACAAACCCAGCAATTTAGCACTCGAGAGAGCAGTCTGCCTCCGAAGTCACCCAGTGTAAGAGAATCTCTGTGGGCTCTTTACCATGACTGGGGTTTGTGATCTTTGATGTTCTTACTAGTGATGGTTCAAGAAGCATGTGAGCAGCTACTGCTTTTCCAAAATCTGAGCACTTTATGCAAAATTCACCCTCTGAAAAGGGTGAGCTCTGAAGAGTTGAAGACTTACGGTGGTTGTTTCTCTACCTAGAAACTTCTAATTACTTTCTGGCCTTCATCTCTGAGTCGGGATGTTTTCCAGTTTCTCTGTAGTATTACTGTTGGTACAGGAAACGGAATCCCAAATTTACAAATGGGAGAGAATAACAATAGTAAAACTATGTGAAAGAGGTGTATTACTGCCCTGCACACACAACAGTGGACAGGAATGACCATGCTGTACTGCGTTCTGCAGGCCCAAGCCGATGCAGGAAGCTAGCTGTACGCAGTGGACTGCTTTCCTGGCTGAGGGTTTTGGTGGTGAACAGCTATTCTTGGTCATCTGAAGGCATAGGTTTCCATTACCTTCTCCTTCATTTAAATGTAAAATGAGAGGAAAAATGACCCAGCTTATTTGGGTGGCCTGCAGCCTTTTACCCTGCCGAGCAGGGGCGGTACAGCAGCCTCAGAACCTTGGCAGAGCAGGTTTGTGATAACTCAGGCTACTGTTGGTCTGATCTTCAGGGGGATCCAGGTCATGTTTGTTTGGATTTTTTTCCAGTTCAAGGAGTGTGGCTTAGCCAACGAGGAACTGGCAGAAAAGGAGCGGAGGAGGATGAAGGACTGCTTTGAGCGTTACCGAAGGTCTGGACTTTAGTAAGCAGGACTAATTTAGACATACCCGTGTGACCTCACTGATTAGCTGCTTGATTTCTTTTCTGTCCATCCCCTGCCCCCAAGCTTGATTCGTGGAGGGCATAAATTCATTGCAGAACTTGCCTTCAGAGGTTCCTGCTGCTAGCTGAACCATCTGAGACTCCTGGTTCAGTACCAGAGGTAGCCAAGATAGCAACGATGGCAGCAGCTCTGGACCACGCAGATGGTTCCACAGCAGGGAGCGCAGTGCGCTCCAAGGAATTGCTAGTTTAATAAATATGATGGATTTCTCCCACACGAGTGAAATCCGTGTGACGTTCACTGTCGGACATGCTGCTGACGTCCAAGACCAAGCTCCCATGACCCTGAACGGGAGCAGATTCCCACCCTCTGTTCTTTTCAGATGCTTGTGTTTGAAGGCGCCTGGTGTTGTCACTGGTCGCTGCCTTAATGGAGCGTGAGGCCCATGAAAACCTCGTAGAACAGGGGCCTTGGTTCTAGGGCTAGAGAGGCGTGCACGATGGCACTGTCAGCAACTTCGGACAATACTGTTTTATTAAAGAAGGGACCTTGGGTAGGGTTTCTTAGCTTCTCCAGCTGAGCACCGCATACACCACGCTTCAGGAACTGTAAGAATGTCTTCAGAACCGTCCCAGTTCGCTTTGCCCTCAGCCAGTCTCAGCTTTGCCACCTTCAGTTAACCGCCGAGTGCAGCGACGCGGCAACCCCAAAGCGTTCCGGTGCCGCTTGTTGGCACCGGGCTTCGGAAAAAATGAAACGCCTGGTCTCGTTTTCAGAAAAAGAGCGATGCGAAGGGTACCGAAGGACCGGCACCACGAGGCGGACTGGGAGAACACCACCGGCAGCGACAACACCGACACCGAAGGCTCCTGAGCGCCGGACCGGAGCTGCGAGGGCGAGGCCAGCCGGGCCTGGGGTTGCCCTGCCCTCGGGGCTCTCTCCCCATGGGCTGCTTCCATTTGAAGCCATCTAAACAAACGTTGGTCACGAGTTTGTGGTTGTAGCGGGACGGGTTTGTGGTTGTAGTGGGATGGGTTCATGGTTGTAGTGGGACGGTGGGTTTTAGCGTCACCTCCCCCTCGTCCCTCTGCCCCTGAGGGATGCAGGATGCAAATAAAATAAACGGGATTAAACAGTTGCGGCCTGGGCTGAGCTGCTCTTGCCGGACAGGTCCCTGGAGTGACAGCCGGCAGCCCGGGAAGGCCCTGCCCCTGCGGGCAGCT